AAAAAAAAAATGATCTACGAAAATGGCTTAAACTAAAAAAGAAAATAGGAAAGAAAAAAAATCTACCCGTCCTAAGAGAAATTAACATAGCCAAAAAGAAAACCAACTAAAAAGAATAAAACTATGAATCTGTGAAATAACAAGGAGAAAAAACAATTTTAAAAAATATTTCTCATACTATCATTGTTATCACACTCGGCTCCGAAGCCATTTAATCTGTACGGATCCACTCCGGGTGCGAATAGTTATTTGCAATTAAGGGTACCCGGGTACCTATAGATACAGCCTTTAAATATAGGCCCATACACTTTTATGTGTAATTTCTTTTTTTTAAAAAACATGTCACCAATTTACCCGTTAATGCCTCTGGACTTTCAGCGCCTCCTGAGGAAAACCCGAATGGATCCAAATCCAATGCTTAATCAATAACTTAAGTTATATTATTTAAAGTTGTGGAATTCAGTGCGTTACTGGTTACGTGAATGCAACTGCTGCTGTGGGCTGTCTGCTGTACCTTTAGAATTTAGGGCGCTAAGAAGTGAATGGTAATGAAGGGAGACAGGGGTATTAAACTATTGATACAGGCACGAGAATAAATGCTGTACCACGGTACAATTATATATATTTTTTGTTTAATAATAAAAGCGGATTCCCACAGTGATAGAATGCGGTGGAAGCAATAGTCAATAGTGGCAATACGATTAAATTAAATCATTATTAATTGGAAGACACAAAACAAAATCATTCGCGTTTACATATACTGATACACACGCTATCAGTCACATGTTTTCTATCACCGATTTTACAATAATAATTATATTTTATCAAAACATTTAGCAAGACATAGCACCTAAATTCTAATGATTTTAAACATGTGCATCGTGTAAATAGTTTCGTTTATATCTCAAAATTATAATATTCCGTATTTTAAATATATTCTGACAGTTGATGGCAACCAACTATATGATATATGAACAGTTGGAACAGGAATAGAAATGAGTTAGGCTATAGAAAATAACTGAGTTGCTTGATATGATATCATACCCGTCATTTATCGTTAAACTCGTACAACAATCATTATTTATTTTTGAAAAATGTTGCAATACAAAGCTATAAGCATATATATTTTGTGTCATGGAAGACATAAGGAATCATTTATGATTGTTTCAAACTGAGTCAGTCACACAGTCACAGTGAATTCATAGCCGCTAAAAAAAAAATAAAAAAAATAATAGCTAGCGCTAAAACTTTCAAATAGGTAAAATAAATAAAAGCCACAGATTAATGATGGCTTATGTCAATGTAAGAATGATATTGTAATGTTTGTATCTTATGATAGACTCAACAATTTCTAAATAATAAATTAATGCCCCCAAAAATTGAAAAATTGACCAAAGATTAATACTGATAGACGTAGTATTTATAGAACTAGGAGGAGGTTAAAAAAACAATAATTTATTGTCATCTGTGTGTTAACTGTAGTCATGCATGTAAATACACTAGAGATAGTGTCAGCAGTGCAAAAAAATTAGTAGTATTACTAATTACTAGTTTTAAATAAAGTGTTTCAAATCTTATATATCTTATTAATCTTAATATCTAGAAATAACTAGTTGGCCTAAGGCCTAAATATAAGTAGCAAAGACAAGGAAAATACTGGCAAATGTTATCATTATATATGTCATATTAGTAGATCGATCTTGCCCTAGAATGTTTGAACATTGTTCGTTAATAATTAGACAAAAAAATGTGTGTCAATAAAACAATAGGCCTATATGTTCAGCTTTAAATTTAAAGATGGTTTTACAAAATACATCCATGAACATTGTTGGAAGATTTTATGTGTGTTGGGAAGACCTTTCAGTTTTCTATTTTCGTTTGTCTTGTGATTTTTTATGCGTCTACTCTAAGTCTAAAAAGTTCAGCTCCTGTTCATTGGAGCATTTTATCATACAGTCTTAACAAATGCTATTGTTTTTGATGTTTCAGATTAACCTAGGCTAGTGTAAATAATCTTCAAAATGAAATCAAAGCCAACAAAATCAAAGAACTTAAGCCGTTCCCTTCAAGTTCTAAATCCAGCTTCTTTAGGAATAAAAAAAAGCAAATCTGATAAGAATGATCTCAAGAAAAAAGTGAGATTCAATTTAAAAGTCAAAAATTCATCTTCTGAAGATATGCTTTGCCAGAGATGTTTGCTACAACCTTTATTCAGAGCAGAATGCAAAGGTATCTTTAAAAAACATTTGAATATTAAAAGAAAGATGTTTTTATTATTTAAAGATATTAACCTTATTAAGGCCTATAATTTACAATTGTTTTATTTGTTTTACTCTCTGTAGTGCAATGGGAATCTCCTTTAAATACTTAAATTAATTGAAATAATGTTTGGAAACAAATCCTACAACATAAATACTCCTGATATTTAAATAGTTATTAAATTGTATTATAAAATTTATAAACCAAAAATCTTTCTGAAATCAATGGTGAGGGAATTTTTACTTTTTATAACCCTACCCTTTCCTTATATTACAGCATTTGAATTGAAAAGTCAAAGCAACACAGATGTGGCAGGATGCTCAAAAATGTCCAATGAAAATCTAAGACAATCTTCCAGCTGTTCATCTAACATCTTCCATACCGACAAGTTTGTGAAACTCCATAGAAACAGTGCAAATGATTATCAAATTGTAGGTCTAGAGAATGGTGACCTATTGAGACATTTATTTAATTTACAGAACAACTTGCCAAGAAAAGGAATTCTCAAAAACAAATGTTCTCAAAATCTTGGCATAAAATGTGATGGGACTTTTCAAAGCTATGAAGACTGCTGGGAAAAGAAACTTGGTAGCCTAGGATCACTAGGGCAGATCCCATCTTTTCCATTAGAGGAACAAACACCAGTAAGCACCCAGAGAGACACAACAGAGTTTCTGAAATTGTACAATACACCTTCAATCTATTTGCCTTTATCCAATGAAAAATCTATTGGAAAAGATGTTTTTGAAGGTGCATCATGTGAAAACTTGACTTCATCAATAAATAGTCTCCACATTTCAGGTCATGCATCAAGTGAATCTCTTATTCCAAAAACCTATGCAAGCAAACAAATGCTATTGTCTGTTAATCCACCACTTGTATGTAATTTATACCATGATGAAAATCTGAAATTAAAAGTGTTGAATAGCAACCACAAAGAGCAATGTTATAGACGTTCCTATTCTATGGATGAACAAATGCCATGGACAGATAAATTCATTCACAACTCAAACAACAATGCTAACTCTTCTGGTCCACAAAAGGCAAACAGTGAGATTCTAACGCAGGACCAAAATCACAACAACCAAACTACACAATGCGCAACTTTCCGAGAGACAAGTGACCAAGGAAGGAATGGATTACCTTCTGAGACTTGTAAAAGTGCAGCAAATCAGAGTGGTAATAGCAGTCAACAAGATGGCCACACAATAGACCATCTGAATGTAGGCTTACATACTCACTGTAGCAGCAATATTTCATATCAAGGGGAAATGTTTAGCCCTAATAGCCCTAGAGTTTTGAACAGTAGTGTCAGCTCCAGAGACCTGTCATTCCCATCTCATGTTAAGGAGGTAGTCTTGAAATCACAAACAGAAATACTGATTTCAAAAGATAATACCAATTTAGTTTCTGGTAACGTAACATGTGGGCCTTCAATACTGTCTGTTAGAGATGAATTTGGTGCTGTTAATCCTGCTTCAGATAAAATTCCTCACTTCAGCACTCATCAAAACCAAGAGGAAACACAAACAAAAACAACTGATCTAAGTGTTAGTGGAACTACAATTATGGCCACATCTCCAGATTATGAAAAAAAAGCTACCTGTGAAAAGCAGGTGATTAGTCTTGGTGTAAATTATGTGAGTGATAGTTGTCACTCCAAAGGAATCTCATGTATTAGTAATAAAAAAACTAACAGGAACTACAGCTGTGACTCAAACTCTACATCAAATAATCTGTACAGATGTCCTATTTTAAATTGTAGCATGCATTTCTCAAATCAAGAATTATTATTAAAACATCTTTCCACAATGAAGCATGCCCCTTGTCATCCAATGTCAACACTGATCAATGGGACCTTGTCAAACCAGAAACCTAATTTTCTCTGTCCATTGTGTGGTAGCATATTTTTGGTAAGTAATGAAATAACATTTATACGGAACCCTTGGGATGATTTTTTTCTTCAGGTTGTTTGGTTTCCTAATGATCCCAAAATTGTTTAACTAGAAGAAACTTATGTTAAGAATTAATAAAATGTACAGATAAAAGCATGTATTTAAACATGTAATCAAAATCTCTTACATTAAAATTTTGCTTACAGGAAAATAATCTAATGAGCATTTATTGGATTGTGCAAAAAAAATTACTGGATCAAAGGAAATGAAAAGCAAACTCTGTTTACTTCCTGCTTCTTAAGAACTTCTTTTTAATTTTCTTAGGATGAAGATAAATGCTTTGACCATATGTTGAGACAAAATCACTTTCGTTTGATGTCGCCTGTCTCCACCTTGGTCTTTTCCTGCCCTCAGTGTTTGTGCTTCTTTCAAAGTCTCAGCAAAACTTTGCAGCATATGGATGATTTAAATCATTACAACACAGCATTTTCATTTGAAGGTAAAACTTGTATACATTTAATTGACAGTGATTCTTTTCACTAAATTAAGTTGTTCCGCCTGCATTCTGCATGCCATGTCTAATATAATTTTAATAATTATGTGCATAAGTGCATAAGATTTTGTTATACAAGGGTCAGCCAATGGCTGGCTAATTTTTATTTTGATTGACTTGATAAAAGTAGTGAATTCAATTAATGAATGAATCATAAAAAGCCTGTAAGTAGCACAAGATTTTGATTTACACATTCTCTGCACTAATTTTTAGCACATTCAGAATACTGACACTTGTATTGTTTTTCGCTTCTGTGATGCACATTACTTTATTCAGAGGACCAATGATGGACATTATTTTAAAATAGATATCATGCAAAATCAAAATTGTATCATTTTACTGCAGGCTTGGGAATACTAATTCTTTAACTGATTTCTTTTAAAGCTGTCTTAAAATTATTATTGTTTAAAATTATTATTATGATTATTTGGACTTAAAATTAATTTGATTGTGCTGCAATATATAGTAGATTGTAGTCCATACCCAGAACACTAAATAATGATAAAATTAAATTATTATGCCTTGTGTCAAAATGATAAAATGACACGAGAAAAGGTCCAGTCTAAGCACAAGGATCTAGTTGCAAATAGTGCTTGCGGTTGACACTGAAGATAAAGGAATGTCCTTGTGTTATTTGCTTATACATTTCTGATGTTAATACATCTGAGCCACTGTTACATCTCACGCATGTTGGAATCCCATGTGTAAGCAATAACAACTTAACCTTTCTTCTCCTGCCACAAAAAAAATTTTTTAAAAAGTGTTTGATCTAAAATCTCTTCTACAGTGGGAATTAAATTATTCTCCGGCAGAAATAGTCTAAAAACTTAATCACAGTATAGTCAAGCTATCTTTATTCTGTCAATTTTTTACAAAATATTTAAAATGAATTATATCTGTGCAGGTGACCGAGAAAATCTCAACAGAGCATCCCCTATACCTGTCCCATACAGATTGATGATTGAATTGATAGCAAGATGTGAAAAAGTCACATATGTCTTGTATTGTCAAGACTGTCATAGTGTTCTAGAGTCGCCAGATCAGCTGAAGGCTCATCTCAACAAGTGCCACATGGTTATATCAAAATGCTGCAAAAGTGTTGTAAGTTTTTGGGCTATAAAACTTAACCCAAATTCTGCAAAATGAGAAAATGAGCATAGGCTAATGGGATTGTCAGATCAAATAGTAGGTCTATACATGCAGCTTTAAAAAGAGTATTTGCTGCTAAACTAACAATTATGGGCTTGTTGATACTTCATAATAATTTGAAATTTTAAATTAAATTTAACACACAGAAACTTACACCTAAACATTTGCTGCCCCCCCCCCCCCCCCCCCTCTCCCCTTTTTTTTTTGTTTTTTAAAGATACAAATTTTTGCTTTTCAGAATTTAAGTCAAAAATGATATTTATTAGTTTTCTCACAGGCGGATGTTTTCTCCTCACTGATCACTGACCAAGCTTGTGCCGAATGTCATCAGTATATCTACCAAGGCTTGCCGGCAACAGGGCTCTGCATACACACTGACTGCCCTCTACAAGGCCCCGTCCTTGCATTGAGAGCCAGAAGCCTAAAAGAATTTTTTCTTCGCTGCGGCATCGCCGACATTAACGTGGCCACTGAAAACAACCTTGACACTAGTCCAAATACGTGTGCCTCTGTCTCTGAAACTTGTACAAGTAATTACTCTGGCTCCGTTAATGCAAAAGCCCACAGTTCCCAATTTTATGATTATATGTTAGAGCAATCAAACAGAAGTGCAAGCCTCCATAGATTTAAGAAAAATGTTGAATCTGACCAATTGGAGCTGAGCTGTCTAACGCGGTCCAGCCCAGACAACCCATGCCTATCAATATCAGGACAGACATTGGCAGCTGTAGCACTGACACCAGTGTCGTCTCATATTCTTCACAATAATGTTGCCTCTGCCTCTCTATCCACTGACAAAGAGATGCCTCCAACCAAAAAAACTGTACTCTGCCCCAGTAGTGAAGGCACATCTCAGCAACAAGTGTTAAACTCCTCTATTCATGACCTCACTTCAGCCGTTGAGAGACGCTGCCCTTCTGCTGATTATCTACAAGCAACTTGCTCAAGTAACTTTTCCAAGCAAGCCTTTCCTTCGAAATTGAATCAAATTTATGATTCGTCCTCAAGTGATTCCACTTACAAGTGTTCACCAACTGAGTCTGAAACCAATTGCGACCCCAGGGAGAAAAATTCCAGCAGTGTGAATAGTGTTGCGGCTGATGAGGATTCTTGTAGCTGCTCCAACTGCCAATCATCTTGTTCAAGTTCAAGCTGTTCTAGTGAATCCATGACAAGTTGTGAGAGTTTAACCGATGTCGACGGAAAGAACCGTGATGACAAACTTGCTGAGGCTTTTCAGTCAGTATCTCAAAATGTGAGGAAAGTCAGCAGCAGATACCAGTGCAGTATATTTGAGAGGGAATCTGATGGAAGTCTTGAAAGTGAACACTACATAGATTACTATGCATCCTTGCACCATAGCTCAAGAGGGCCGGATAAAGTAAATGAGATTTATGCTAAGGACATGAGAAAACCTATGAATCCAGTTCGTGAAGCAACACCATTGTTAAATAAAGATAGCCAGTATTTTACATCTGAGGCAGTAGTGAACATTGATGTTGATTTATTTTTAGGTGAAGATCAGACAGCATCACCTCAAGGTCATAATGTAAAGAAACAAACCCAAAAGCCTACCAGAACCAAAGCCTTGCAAAGAGAAAGTGACATGGACACCGGGCAGTCTAATGATTCAGGCCTATTTCATTCTGATTTGTTAAAAGATAGCTCTGTTGCAGTGATGAAACCTGCTTTGAAAAGAAGGCAAGATGAAGACTTAGAAATGCCTGATGCCAAAAAGCTGAAGCCCGCCTTTGACGAAGGAAAACATATCCAAACCGACCGTGCTGCATTCAAAACCACTGAGTCTTTGTATATGGTGGCCAGAGGTGAAGAAGATGGTCCAGAGAGAGGTCCGTCTTTTTACACTATTGATAGAGATAGTCAGTTCAAAAAGAGGACTAATACCAGAACAAACTACACTGCTAACAGGAGATATGATACACGCAACGGCTCAAAAAGAACAGGAGGTATTAGCAAAGCGAGTCGTTGGAAGCATCAGTTTAAGAATAAACAACACTATTGTACAAACAACAAAATCAATTCCTCTGATAAAACTATTTCTGGTAAGATCAAGAAAAAGGAATTAAGAAAAAAAAAAAAAAAGATATTTGGAAGAAAGGGAATGAGATGTTTAAAGCAGATAAAAAATATAAATAAATAAAAAAATAAACAACACTATTGTACAAACAACAAAATCAATTCCACTGAAAAAACTATTTCTGGTAAGATCAAGAAAAAGGAATTAAGAAAAAAAAAAAAAAAGTTATTTGGAAGAAAGGGATTGAGATGTTTAAAGCAGCTACAAAATATAAATAAATATGCAACTCCCAAGACTTATGCACAAGGCAACTATCAAAACACCATTGATTCTGAATATAAAAGTAAAAATATTAAGAATTCAAAGGCAGAAAAAAAGGGTGCCAACAATTTATTTGTATCCATGCATGCAAAAAAGGACAATGGCCGTTGTCAAGGAAACCTGTGCAGTTTGACTAAGAAAGCTCTAACAATGAAGCAAAACTCTCTTGTGAACCCCCTTACAAGAAAGCAAGCTAAAGCTCATAGAAGACAAATGAAGCAAAAAGTTTCGAAGAATCTTAACAATTGTAGAACATCTAAACTGCAATCCAAAACTACAGAGGTGGAGATCTCGGCACAGAATAAGGCATTTGTGGGCTATAAATGGGCCTTTCCGGAATCGGGTTATTCAAAGGTTGAGCAAGCTGCCATTGGTCAAGAAGCAGGATCCAGCAAGATAAACACAACTGAGGTAAAAGATTTAGGATCTTGCCAGACAGCCTGGCAACAGTCTTTGGATGTGGACATTGTAGACATTGATGAGATTAGAGATAGATTTTTTATAGTCAATGAATCTTTACCATTTGATGAAAGCTGCTTCATTATTGATGATGGAAAGAAGCTGAAAAATTCAACTTCCAATTCATTTGAGAAAAGTAAATTGAAGTCACCAGAAAATGTGAAAAGGTTTCCTGTGGAGGAAAGCTCAGCTTGTGTTGATCAGATTTGTTACATCAAAGCTAGTTCACCAGAGGTTAAGTTCAATTTTCCTGTGTTACGAAGTAGTAAAACAAAGGCAGGAAAAAATGGCTTTGCTCTTTCACAAAATAATCCTGGAACATCAAAAGCTGGTGAAAAATCAATTCCTAAAAATGCACAATCTCAACCCAAAGCATTAATGGATCAAGTAATTCTTAGACCCAGGGACAAATACATGGCCAATCAGCACATGAAATCTACCACATCAACTATGAGTCTCCCTGATGAAGTCAGTATTGTGATCAGCGACGATGACCATTTTGTGGTGACTGCTGAAAGTCACATTAACCAAAGCTATCAAACTCCTGATGATCGCTTGCAAAACAGTTTACGTAGCTCGGACAAAAAATTAGACCTCCTTTCAGCTGTGGGGAAGAAGAGGTTCACAAGGCGGCGGCGATTTCAAACAAACAAAAGTAAAAAAAAAAATCTGCATAAATCCCATTACAAAGCCTCGCAGGGTAAAGGATTATTCAGTCAACTCAACTTCAGAACGGCCAGATTCAAAGCTGCTGATCTTAAATCGACCGGCCAGTTTCACTTCCCTCCATTGGTCGCGCCATCACTGATGCTCCGACTTGATGGTCCACAGTGCTGTTCATCTCACAGTGAAAGACAGCTTGGGTCAGCCAAGTCTCAGTCAACAACAACCGTGCCCAAGTCTGCTCATTTTAAGAAACTGATCTCACCTCAGGTAAATGTTGCTAATCAATTATGTTTTTCAAATGTTCTTTTTCTCAGTGGGTTTGACAGTCGACTAGCACTACAAGGCTTCAGAAATAAGTAGCAAAAAATGGCTATTTATGTACTCTTTTTATAGTCTTTTCTATATAAAGATGCAATAAGATCTTTGTACTTTGTCTTCATTGTTATATTATCAATCCCATCAGTAAAAAAAAAGACATTCCTTGTACTTTCTCAAAAGTTTCTTTAAAAAAATAAAGATTAGTTGAGCTTTGATATATTTATTTTTTTGTAAAAACAACTGTTGGTAACAATGTTCCCAATCGTCGACAGATCAACCATTTGGCCTCCATGGAGAGAATCATCTTTGCCGACCTTGAAAATGTTATGTTTTTCAAGGTTTTCTCCGGATCATTGTCACCATCAACTTATGTTTGGGGCTTTATAAGTGCCCGTCCTAACACACCTTTTCACCTGGAGCAATACTTTTGCAAGTAGGAACTGAAGATTTCATGACAATCCAACCAATGAAGATCTTTTAACTTTATTTTGAATTTATTTAAATTTAAAAGCTATTTTCTTCGAAACAATGTTAATACAAGTTTTTTAATTGGATGTATTGAACAATTCCATAATATAAAGGTACATGGTAAATTAATTTAAATAAACCCCTGAATGAAACGTTAATGAAATGAATTAAAATAATGATGTTGTGATATCTATCCCCATGATGAAAGCAGCTCTAAAATCATCCTTTGAAGTGGCGTTTCATGTTACAGAATTGAATGCTTCCTTTTAATTTCAGGTACCCCTTATATAATTATCTAAAAGATGCAGATTGTGTTCATATATCAACTGAGATTGGTACCAGTAAAGATGCTGTGGACTTTGCCATGTGCCTTGCTGTTAGTAACTACTTCCATAATTGGATGGCTAATGTTTAACTATAAAATAATGAACCTCTGTTTTGTTTCTTGTGTTAAATAATTACATTTTCTAGTCATTTTTTTGTTGACATAAATTATTTTCAATTAAAGAAAATTTAATTACCAACTTTTTAAAACCCATACAATCTCAGGAGATAGCCAAACAATGGTAGCGACAATGCACAAACTTTGCATCTACTTAAGTTACTTGACAAATCATGCGTTGAAGAACAGTCGACCCTTGTTTATCACGGTTAATTGGTTCCAGACTCTACCGCGATAGGGGATTTTCCGCGAAGTAGGATTCTTTATTTATAAATCGAATATTTTCGTAGTTAGAGCATAGAGAACCTGATTACGACCTAAATACGTTTTTCAACATTATTATAGCTCCTAGACGTGAAATAACACCCTTTAGTCACCATTACACTCTTATCCCCCAATATATTAAACAAAATAAAAGAAATTAACACATTAGACATTACAAATATATTATTATTTTATATGTTTGCTTACTATTATATCGTTGCTCGAGGAACACCAGTCGTGCAAGCATGACTGTTTATTGCCATATCCATGGTCCTTCATGCTCATCACACTTTTAGTAAAACCCAGGACATTTGTTTCATCACCGCTGCTACTCACATCCGGCAACTAACATGTATAATTGACTCAGACAACCGAGCGCGCTGTATCATTTTCACTGTCTCGATCAACTTTTTAATGAATATACAGTATATGAAAAAAAAACGATAGAGCAAAGCCGCGAAAGTGGAAGCATGAAGTGGCGAGGGACTACTGTAATGCACTTTATAAGAATCCCAATTATTTCTAACATCTGGGGCTTTTATTTGATGCGCCTATTGAACACGGCTTTACAGCCATAATTACATACCTAGAGAATTATTATTTGTGATACTAGTATCTGAACCCTGTTTGTTAAATTATCATATGAAAATATTTCATGCATTTTACTTTTACATTTCAGATTGCTAAACTTGATGATAGACTGCCAGCCTCTATTCCATTTTTCATTGTGTCAAGGGACAGAGGCTTCAGAGAGGTGGAGAATCAAATGAGAGCTTCTCACAGACTTGTCAAGGTCATATCTCCTCAGGGGTGGAGTATAAGTGACTTGGACTTTAAGTTGTGAACAATTCGGAAACAAATTGACAAATGAAAAGAATCTGCTTTATTACTGAAATATATTTCATTTCTTGACAATTCCAGATTTAAAAGTGTGTTCTCTGATGCATCAGTTAATTGGATGTATTTATTACACTCTTATAAACGATCGTTTTAATTATAAAAATGTTTATAAGTAAAAAGATTCTTATGAAATATAAAAATTCTATAACATTTCGCTGAACCCGTCAGTTTTACGGCAATACTATTAAAACTTTTGCTCAACAGAGACTGAAAATTTGAACAAAGCAGAAATCAAATCTTAAATAGTCTTTGCTTATAGATGGACATTATGAAAAGAATTTTATTTCCTAGTGTGGAATAGACAAAGGGTTAAATTTGAAATAATCTCATTGTTTGTACATAATGCTGTAAAAGATTGATAGAGAAAAATTGTAATCTAAAGATTTATTTATCAACTGCATGAACCATCAGATGTCTTTTAACATCCAGATATCTTGCCAATTAAATTACAATTTTCTTTATTGTGTAAATGATATTCAAATTGTGTCAGATTTGAAAAAGTCCAGCTTCTAACTTTTATAATGAGTTGGGTTTTTTTTAATGCTTGGATTGGACAAAAATAAGTGCATTCATCCTTATATGGTTATAAATTTAGTATGTGATGTATATAGCATATTTAAAACAGATTTTTACTAACAAACTTTTAGAATTTTTTAAGTTAATTTATTTGTTAAAATTATTCTCTATTAACAAATTTACAAAAATATTTACAGATGGATTTTGTTAGCCAGAGTATATTTTGAAAATTGTTTAAATCTTCTATTATTATATATATATGTAGGTGGATAAACAAAAATTAATATTTACAAATTTGTGTTTTGTGTGTGACTTCCTTTATTATAATTTTTTTTAAATAATTAAACTGTTTATCACCGATAGGGGGAGTTTGAACCTGGCCTGTGGAGTTAACATAATTTGAAGACTGTCCAGTTACACAATTCTGAATAAGGCAGGGTTCGATGAACAGGTGTAAATTACCCCCAGTGGGGTAAAAATGAAAATCTTGAGGGTAATAATAAATAAAATTATTAAGCCTTTTCCTTGAAATGAATAAAAAAAAAATTCTCATGGCAAGGCTGCATCTGGCCAGAGTTACAGAAAAGCATCCAACATGTTTTGATTATAAGCGACTAAAGAGCTAGTGTAAGTGCACTTCAGGTCTTCTTTCGTCATTTTGGTCTTGTCTCGTCAATTGTTAAATCTTACTCACAAAGATGCCAAGAGCTGCAAAGGCTTTCAAAATTGCACACGAGGAGACAATAAAAAAAGTTGATTCCTTTTGTAACAACCAACCTTCGTGTCATGAACAAGGGATTTCCGTTCTAATAGTTCTAATTAACATAAAAACTAAGCAAAGAAATCTATTGAACACTTAAGATAGTATCAAAATTTCCCTGACAATACATTAAAAAGCTCCAATTTCTATCTTGATGTATAAAAAATGAAACTCCATTTCTCCAAAACTTGGAGTTAAAAATTATTTTTAAAGAATTCCATTTCATCTATCCTGAGATTTAATTTTTTTATATTTTTTCACATTTATTTTAATAATTTTATAGTAATTATGGTTGTACTGGATTTATAGTTGTATTTTCCGTTATAATAGATTCAATAACCCTTTTGAATGAATTTATTAATATTTTCTCTTTAAAATCATGGGGGTACCAGTTCAGTAATGTTGTCGGTGTAAACAACTATAATTTGGTGTAATTGCTAAAAATATTCCCCGACCCTTGGAATAGGTCTTCTGAATTTATGCAGGTTTTTAAAAGCAAAAATAAAACAAATTTTCTGACAACTTTTATTGTTATTGATTTTTAAAAATTTCTGCTCCCATGGTTTTTGAATTCATTTACCATGATCAAATAATAGATTGTGCTTTGATACAAATTTTACACTATAAATAGATTTTATGTTTTCAGGTCACTCAGGCCAGTTGTGGAGACCTCATGCAAATATCACAATAGCATTTTTATTTATGAGAAATATTTTAAAGTTTGAAAGGTCAAGATAAGAAAAGTTTTAAATAAGTTTCATAAAAAGTTTTCGAACCAATGGTTTATTTTATTTCAATATTTTAAAGTAAATAAATATAATAAATGACCAAAACCATTCTAATAATGATATAACTTAAATAAGATAATTTTCTTTTCAGAGGAATGAAAATAAATTACACAATACGTACACAAATGCCAAGCAATTTACATTCAGGAAGTAAAGCAGATTCTCAAAGAATTCACAAATTATTTTGATATTTCAAGCTTTTGATCATCATTTAAAACGCAAAAGAAGAAAATTAAAAAAATTGCATGTGATTTATGTCATAACCTGCATTGAATTTCATACAGTTATGAATAAATGCGTATTTTACTCTGTAAAAGTTACTTTTGAAAATCACATCAACTTCAAAAAAATTTTTGAAATTAACAATACTGTTACTATGAAATGAAGAATTATATTATTATTTCTAAGTAGAATCAAATTTTAATCATAACTATCACGGAGCTCAGTTAAGCTTATGCAGCTAAAAAGGTATCATAAAATATACTGAATATTTTTTATTCAAATGCCCGCAACACATGCAAATTGACCGATTAAATCTTAAAAGTTAGAAAATGAATACTTGGACTATACTATGTATTATCTATTAGGGCTGAGCAGGAGCAGGGTACTGACGTGGATACATGGATATGCCAAATACTAGCATACCTGACACATGCTCGGCAAAAAAAAAAAATTATCGTCATTATCTCTTATTTGCTATAATGTGTTCCACTCAATGGGGAGAAATGAAATGTGCACGTATATAATAAACTATAACCAGTACATCTTTTTTAAAATAAATTTTTTACATTTTGCCTGAATTAAATGAATAATAGTATGAAACTGACCAGCGATTGGTGCAAAACTAAACGTAAGCTAAATGAACTGAAAAGCTCTATAAGTAATAATGTACTTGCTGCGAACTTTATGTAGTTATTTGCATTAGCAAGATGTATATCATTGATGATTATGAGTAATAAATATATGTCACATGCTCAATGGCTGATGATACTGAGTAGCCAAATTTTGTGTGACTGTCGGGATCATTTGTACGTTCTGTCATGGAATTGAAAAATAGTAATGTAATTTAACACTCATTTAACAAGGGAAGCAATTGGCTAAACTTAAGGAAGGCTGGGATGATATCGCCATGATTATATAACTATATATTAAAAACATGCATCGTAAATTGGCAAAGCTATTGATGTCTGAATTGTTGTTATGTTATTGGGTTTGGGCAATAATTCACAACCTGGGAAACACCCCCTTGGGGGTCGTCTGACAAAATGTCGACGAGGGGTTGCTTGACAACTGTATCTTTTTTTAAATTTGAATTTTCCTTTTAAATATTATCTACAGTGATCCGACAAGTTTCTTACGGTTACTACATTTTGACTACACTACAGCTACATTAAATTATTAAAAATATGATTCATTTGGCAGAGGTCAGCAGATAATTTAGTTTATTTTGTCAGTTTTTTCATTTTAAAAATATTACATTATAATATATGATTTTATTATTTCTTCCTACTTCGTTGCCTTTTTTTTCCCCCTTTCTTTCTTACTTTAAATTACAAGTTGGCAGCTTCCACACAAAACTATTTTCAGGTTTGTGAATTTATCAAAAGGGGATTTACTTAAAGCCCCCTCTAAAGAACCCTCCACCCTTCTTAGCCCTGACTTCTGCTATACTCCGTCCCAATCAAAATCAGAGTACCAAATCCTGTTTATCTACAAAAAAAGCTCTGCCTCCTCCCCCATTCTCAACACCTGTTCTCAATTTCAAGTTAAAATTATGGCAGTGAGTGGCAAATGTTATAAGGGGTCGCTGCAATAAAAGGGTAGAGATTTTCTTATAAAGCTAATAGTGTTTTGAAGCCTTCAACTCTGATGCCTTAGTGGTAGCTACTGGTTCAATATATGCACTTTTCACTTCTCCTTGTCGGTGGAGCACATTATACAAAATACCGAACTAGGTGTAAAAAAAAACTGCACCCGGCTCAGCCCTACTACCTATAGCCATTTGTAGAAAGGGTTTATAATTTATACACAACACTTTTCTTGTCATTAAAATGTCTCCTATTCCTCACAAATAAAATGAGAAATGAACCTAAGACAACACATTGAGGAGCCATGGCATTAGATGTGTGAAATAAAGCATATATATATATATATAAATATATGGGCTGCCATGGGGATAACAATACATCAGTTTTTATGGCAGATGTTACGAAACATAATTTAAACAAAATATTGCATACACAATTGGAAATAAACATATAGGAATGGGTGCTAATTTAACCACTCATAATATTATAACATACATCATAAAATTGATCGTGGGCCCTTAAGATATAGAAGAAGAAGAAGAAGAAAGTGTTTTTAAAAAATGATCTGAAGTGGTACAAATCCAATGACTAAATGGCTGATTGATTGTTTAACGCTTGAATAATCAAATTTAAAAGTTTTAAACAATTTTTAGGAAAGTAAATGTCCTGGACACATTAAAAAAAAAGAGAAACGTATTAATAGATTTTTTTGCTCACACTCTTTACTTTAAAAAACATAACAGAGAGATCACAACCATAACAATGTCAAGCTGAAAAGATTACTTTAAATCTTATATAGAGTACTTTACTCAAGCCTTTCTGATGATGATAACTCATTTATTCAACTCATTTATTGGTATAATTAATATTATTAATTATAATTGTGATAAAGAGAAGTTACAGAAACTTGGTATTCAATTAGCAAACAAGACATATGCTTTGTTTAACAGGGTGTCATTTTAAATAATAGAGTATTTACATTTTCTAATGAACATATATGATCTAGTTTAATTAAGTACTTTAGAAATTCACTAACAAGCATGTAGGTGATTTATTTTTCTGTTATTCTAGCAAACATTTTTACCCTTTAACCAAACTAATTGGAAACTCTACCAGATGTTAAATGAAAATTATCCTACTTGCTTGCACTCTATTCTAATAAAAATGAATTCAAATAAATATGAATATTTACTGCATTCTTTAGATTTGTCTAAAATTAAAAGCGCTATATTACAATGATAGGAAACAATAAATACAATGGCTTAAATACTGTAGAGCCTACAACCGGTCAAATAAAAATATCACATTATTTAAAAGTTGATTAGAAATATAATATAGTTTGCAGACGTTTCATTATTATCGTTAATGACAGTATTTTTTTCTTCTTTTAAAACTTTTATCAATTTTTAAAAAACTGGCATTTATTAAATCTGAATTTTTAAAAAAAAATTCATGCCTGCTAACAAATAACTTACATATAATAATTATCTGTATAAAATAAGACCTGTCATACAACATATTATAAAATTTATTTTGTTTAGACCTTTGCACGGATAGAATGCTTTTAAAAAGTCACCTAAACAAAAACTAATAATTCATAAGGACTAGCAATGCAACAAAACATTTACAGCAAATTAAACAGTGCCAGCAATACTCAGGACTTGCTCTTTGGGCAGAGCAACCCTTGCATTCGC